GATGAACTTACTAGAGTAATTAAAGCTCTTAATTTTACTAATAAGATAGGAGTAAATGAATTTTTGGCTATTCTTGAAAAATTGAAGAATAGATAGTTTATGAAATTCTTAATTTTTTAGAAATTGTAGATTTATTTAAAATAGAGGTTAGAACCAGCTGAAAATTCTTTAACCAGTTAATAACTGGTTAAAATATTTGTTAACTGGTTAATTAACTGGTTAAAATTAATTTTGGCCAATATTATAAATTTGGCCAGAGTTAGACAATATTTTGTCAATCATAAAAATCTTAATTTTGGCCAAAAATTGAATTTCGGCTGGATTTAAATTCATCTATTTTAACTGGTTAAAAAAATCTTTAACTAGTTAATATGTTAACCATTTTAACTAGTTAATTAACCGGTTAAAAATTAACCAGTTCCAACCTCTAATTTAAAATAATATTAAACATAAATTATTCTGATAAAACTAATAATAGTATTGAAGTAAAAACTATTTGTATTAATAAAGCATTATAGAATATAAATACTATGCATATATTTTTACTTTAACAAAAGAATACAAGTGAACAAATAAAATTAATAAGTAAAATTAAAAAATTTATTAAAAAAGAATAAATTAATCTAATATAATAAACTAATAAGATTAATATTTTAGATAATACTTTATTTAATAATGATAATTATTTTAATTTCTAATTAATTTGTAATAATACAGTCAATCTCTCTAAATATACTTTTTAAAACTATAGTGAAATTTTTAAAAAATATGCATTTAAAGAGAAAGTATATTTAAAGAGAAAATTTTTATATAAATTTTATATGCTTGAAACTAAATAAAAATATGTATTTAGAGAAAAAGAGAAACTATTTTATAGTAGTTTTAAGATAAATTAGTTTTTGTAAAATAAACAAAAAAGGTAAGATGATATTAAAAATAAAAGATGTGATTGACTTATAAATTGCAAATATTAATCATTATTAAAGTAAAAAATATAAGCAATAAAAAAAGAAAAACAGTCAGAAAAATTATGCTAAATTTGCTAAATTTGTCGATTAATAATATTACTTTTTAGTGGTTAAAAGTTAGAAGCTTTTGTTAAATGATAAGTGGATTTTTTTTGTTTTTATTTTAGAAATGCTATTTATTAATATTTCTTTTTCCTTTTTTCTTTAGCAGTGGTCTTGAATTTTGATAAGGTAGAGAATTTTAGCTTTCATTTAATAGAGTGATTTATTTTTATTTTTTTTGTTTTAGAAATATTATTAATATTTCTTTTTTTTTTCATTAACAGTAGTTTTAGATTTTAATAAAGTAAAGGATTTAGCTTTCATTTAAATAGTAAATAAACTTTTTTTTTTTTATTTTAAGAATTTTATTAATGTTTCTTTTCTTTTTTTTCTTTAATAATATACAAATATATTAAATTTAATAAAAATTAAATTTATAAAATTTAAATAAATTAAAAAAATATTAATTAATTATTATTAAAAATATTTTCATAAATTATTTTACAATTACAATAAGCGGTGATCTTAGATTTTAGTAAAGTAAAAGAGGGTTTTTTTTAGTAATGATTTTAAATTTTATTTATTAAAATGTAAAGTTTTTTTTATTTTTTTATTTATTTTTTTATTTTTGAGAAATATTATTAATGCTTTTTATTTTTTTTATAATTATAAATTTATTTTTTATTTTTTATTTTTTTTTTTAATTTGTATTCTTAATTGAAATTACCTTTTTTTTTTCTGTTTTAAATAAAAGTTCATTATTTATAAGTATTTTATTTTTTTTTATTTATTTATTTTAAGCTTTTTAAGTAATATAATTTAAGTAATTTTACTTATATAATAATAATTAATTTCATTTATTTAATAGTAAAATAAAGAATATTAGTAAATAATATTTTTAATTATCTTTATTATTTATAATAATTTAAGTTTTATTTACTTTAATTGAATTATTTATTATTAAAAATATTTATTATTTAAAGTTATATTTTTTTTAAAAAAGAAATTAACAACTATGTTATTTTAAGTTTATAATTAATAAAATTAATAAAATTTATTAATAAAAAAAATTATAATAAATAAGAATATTAATAAAATTAAAAATATTAAATTAATTTTTCTTTTTTATTTTTAATTGTAGAATTATTGATTTAGGTTAAAGACTATCTTATTTATTTAGATTTTGAATATGAATATGACTTATTCATATAAATACTATTGTCTTTTAATACTAAATCCACTTGTTATTATTTTATGTGAAATCCTATTAGCATTATTTTAGTTTTTCTAATATCTTTTAAATGTTTTTCTCTATTTACTATTTTTTTAATCTCTATATTACTATTTTATCCTTACTAAAAACAAAATAATGTTATTTAAAAATACTTAGTATAGTCTTAAATAATTATTTAAAAATTCTGTATATATATAAAAAAAGACAATTCATTTTCCTTTTTTATCAAAAACTATCTATATTAAATTATATTTACCAACTGTTGAATCTTCTACAACTTATATTAAATCATCCAAATTTTCTACTTCAGCTTTTTGTAATTTTAATTTAAATAATCTAAAAAAATAATCAGGACTAAATTTTATATGTTCTATAACTATAAAATATATTGTTTCTTCATAAAGATTATTTCTTACTTATTATATTAGATACATAATCATAAAATTATTTTTATTCTAACTAGCAATTATCTGTATAAATAATAACTTTTTTTTTTTACTTAATTTATGAATTTCAAAATAATTATATATTAAAGAAATTATTATATTAACTCCTTTACCAATATTTTCTTTTTTAATTAAATAATTAACTTAAATAAATATATATTAATATTAATAAATAATTTAAAATAAATATATAATTTAATACTTACTTATTTAAGAAAAATATTTTTACAAATTTCAAAAACTTGAATAAAATAAAGTGATTTAAAATATGTAGTACTCTATAAAAATTTATTTTATATTAATAAATATAATTTAAATTAAAAATAAAAATAAAATTAATTTAACATATTTTTTGTTGAGAAGAATATGGTAATTTTATTTATTTAGCAAAATTTCAAGAAATATAATTAATTAAATTAATTGGATTAGAAATATTAGAATGTAAAATTAAAAAATCTTTATAATTTTTAATATTAATTTTGAATTTTCTATACATATTTTATAATTTAATAAAAAATTAAGTTAATAAAATAAATAAAAATAATAATATATATAATAATAAATTAATAATTTACTTAAAATAATCACATTCTTTTTAAGTCTAAAAAATATGTTATTATCATTTAGTAACTTTCTTTTCTATATCTTTTTCTGGCCAATATTTTGTATTAAATCTCATAAATTTACATAAAAATATAAATCACTATGTAGTAATAAAAATTTTATTTCTAAAATATATTTATACTATAAATATCAAAAGGTTATTAAATATACAAATTTTTATTATTATTTGTTTTAATTATTTCTTCAAATATTTGATATAAGAAAAAATAACTTTCTCTAGCATGAAGAAATATAATTGGTAGTGTTTCTTTTTTAAAATGATATTCTTAAAAATAAATTTGAATTAATAAAAAATTAAGATAAATTTAATTTTAAATAAAATTTAATATACTAGAAGAAGATAAAGTGTATTAGCATAATTTATTATACATGTTAAAATTTCTAAAAATCTTCAAATAAAATTGAATAATTACTTAAACATTCTTCTAATTTATATTTTTGTAGGTTAATATTATTTTAAATATAATGTTTTCTTATATTCTCTTATTTTTTAAATTCAATACTATATATTACTAAAAATGCTAAATTACAAATTTTAATTCTTTCAAATAAGTATTTATTAGCAAGTTTTTTTTTTATTTTTATTCTTTTGTTGTAAGACTTTTTTCGTCCAATATGTATTTTAATTTTGAGGGTTCAGACATTGCTTTTTTTATTTTTGACAAGGGTTCGGACATTTTTGTTTCTTATAATGGATAGTGATGAGTTTTTTATCAGGTAGGTAAAAAATCACCGAATTCTAGTTTTTTATATACGTTATATTCCTCTATTATTTGTCCTTTTTCGTTAGTTTCAAGCTATTATCATTTTTAATATTTTCCATTGAATATAAAGGTAAAGATTTTTTGTGAAGCTCGGATTATATGACATTGAAGGGTGCCTAATTTAGAATTGTTAAACTTATATACGAAATTGTAAGGTCAATAGAAACTTTATTCTTTCCCATATAACTGAAATTTTTTTTTGGATCGAGGACATTATTCATTGAAAAAATACCTAATATAGTATATTTCCTATGAAAGAATTTTCCCCCTATTTTTTTGAAATAATTAGGAAGTGTAAGGTACTAGAAAAAATTTTCATTCTTTATATAACTGAATTGATTTATTTAGGGTTTTTTTTGGATCGGAGGTATCATTCTTCATTGAAAAATACCTAATATAGAATCTTGCCTATGAAACGTATCCACGAGGAAAGTGTAAGGTATTAGAAATTTATTCTGATTTTGTGGTATCATTCTACATAGAAAGAATTACTAATATAGAATCTTTTCGATGAAATCAAAATAGGAAACGTAAGGTATTAGGAATTTAATACTTTTCTGATATAGCTGAATTGATTTATTTGGATCGAGTCATCATTCTTCATTGAAAGGATGCTTAATATGGAAGAGATGTAAAGAATCAAGGTACTAGGAATTTAACCTTTTTGAATAGGCCTTGAGAAAATGCCTAATCTAGAATTATTATTGTGTTTTTTACCCCCTTTTTTTTATCAAATCAAAATTTATTATAGGAAAGATTTTCATTGCATGATGAAATGTAAATCATTGAGATTGAGATATTGATAATTGCATAACTTTTCTTAAATAATCTCGTAAATGAAATTATAAAAACGATATAAAAAAGATTTTTTGGCTCCAAAGTCCTCAAACTAAAAATTACATAAAAAAAATTTTGGCCAAATATGATTAGGTGTTTGTTAAATATCGAAATTACGGAGCAAAACACCGTTGAAAAAAATGTGGTGGTGTTAAAGCCAAACCGTGAATTCTTGATGTGGTCACCATCCTCTTCAACAATTGAAAGAAATGTTCGATATACCACCTCAAGAAACTTGATAGATCAGAATTCATTTCATATTTTCAAGCAACATTATTTGGAAGCATTGAATGGTAAAGGCAATCGAGATGATATTTCAAAATTAAATCGCGTTCATAACGAAATCGTCGAAGCTTGGAAAAATGCAGATAAGGAGGTCATTGAAGAGTATAGGAATCTTTCTCAATGCAATTATGTTATCAATTTTGCACAAGATTTAATTTTGAGATCCGCTCAAAATAAAATAAGTAAACCCGACAATTTTGGATTATGTGTCATGATTTTTATTATTTTTTATTTCATTATGTTAACTTTTTTTTACGGTGTGATGATGAAGTTTCAGCATCCCATATATTTTTTCTTATTCATTAAAGACATGGGTTCTTAATTATAGATAATTCATTCATAACTACCCTCCTTAATTATATATTTGAATTCATCATATGTGAGCGGCAGTCAATTTTGCTGACGTTCTCCCATATTTATTTTATTTTTATAATTAGAAGTAGTCTTATTATAAACACTTCAATTTATTTATTTTTTAGCGTATTGAAATAAATCTTCATTTCTATAAATTTGAATATTTTTAACTTGATGTTTTTTTTTCTTTCATACATCGAAAAAAAAAGAACAACAAGTACATTTTGATATCGCAATTCTAATTTGTTTATTAAGGATTTCAATTCAAACCTTATGGACGGTTTCATGAATTAGAAAATGTTACTAATATTGTAATCAATAGGTATAAAATTCAGAGAGCTTTTTTAATTTCATGATCACTGCGCTCCAAATGAATAGAGAACGAACGCTCTTATATTCAAAGAAATAGACAGTACATACTCACTTTTTTTTTTCTTCAAACAATTTTTTCCCTTTTACAACGATAATATGGTAATCGTCATATATAGATCAAATTATCAAAATTGTTCGATGGATTCTTTATACATTGTATTTGCGACAAACATAGATTCTAGTCATTTGGACAATGATGTTGTATGGATTAGAGATGAATTAGTAACCTCAAATGACGAATACTAAAATCAGGTTATCGACGGACATTCTATAATCAAGTACAGTATTATTGCAATCATGCTTATACGTGTATATAAACGAACTTAAACCAGATTAACAATTTCAACACTTCATGTCTTATATAACAGTAGTTGCGAGTCAAAATTCATTTAACAAATGGTATGATTCGATTTTTGACTTTTGACGGGAATTAACATACGGATATATTTTGATACGTTATGTTACACAAGAATTCGTCAAAAATGTAGACCAATAATAAAATGTCGTGATTCGAAAGCAGAATGACGTAGTTATACTTTTTAATTGTACAATAATTTGGAACGTTAATCGGGCAGGTCCAAGATAATTATGTGTCACGATTTATGAAGAGTCAACGGTTTCGATATGAACAATTATTTATGAATTGTTTTATTGGAAATAATGGGGAATCTGCCAATAAAAATAAAAAAAATTGAGAAATGCTCGAACTAAAGTTGTTTAGCACCTAAAATGGGAATAGAAGATTTTCGGAATATCTATCAGCAAATCACGACTTACATAGTGTTCTACCAAAAAATGGTAGCCGGATTTTATTTGCCAGGTATTTGTTATTAGGGATAGTATTTGTGTTAGGTTTAGATTAAGGGTAGAATTAGGATTTAGTTAAGGGGTTAGGAAATTTGTCACATTTTGCGTCACATCCCAGCCGTTCTTCAATTTACTAAGAAAAATGCTAATTCACAATTAATGTCACCCTAATAACCATTTTTTGGTGGTGGTCATATGATTTACAATGAGGGAGATATTTAAGCGAATCATTTTTTAATTTATTTACGCATCTTCTTTTTTTTAATTGTAATTAAATCGCCAGCGCAAGATAAACAAGTTATTTTACATTCTGGAATGAGAAATTCATAAAAAAAAAAAAATAATAATTTTACTTAGAACAATTAAATATTATATAAGGATACTGACAGTGTTGTTCGCAAGGAAGGAAGTGGTCATCCTTAAAAATCAGCTTTCAAAGCTTTTAAAGATTGTGAAAACTTTTGTATTAACTTGACAAAGTTCTTTTACTAAACAGGAAATTGGTGTAATAATATAATTCTAATTTAATGCATCGTAGTTGACGTGTCATTTCATGTCCAGCAGTTCCTAATCTTGATATTTGATGTCATCAATTGTTTCACCAATTCACAAAAATTTACCATGATTCTGGTAAGAACTTTTTTAACCAAATTGATAAAAAATATAATAATTGTAAACAACTTTAAGATTTAAATGTAATTATATCCTGAATAAATTCAAGTATTTTGATTTAACGGTTTCTCAAAGGTAGAAAGATTCTATTACGTTTCAGTTTTCAGGGTGATACAAAATCTGACCAATAAAATTTGTTAAATTGATAAATTTCTATATCTTTAAGTAGAATTTAAAATAAATTTTGACCATTATTTGACATGCAACGTAAATCGGTACGATCGGAAGAGTGTTTATATTTAAGTGTGATAATTCAATCATTTTGTATGTACAGTACAGCTAGTAGGTGATGGGTATTGGAATTTTGATTTTGGTTTCAGTTTAGATTCTTGTGGACCCACTTGTAAGGTCCCTGATTATAATTTTTTTTTTTAAATTCCAAATTATTGCGTCTAGGATAATGGTAGCCCGCACATGTGAACGGGACTTTACCGAAACAAAATGCTTTTTTATTATTTTAAAAAAAAAAAATATGTATAGTACACTGACTTTCAAGAGAATACATTTGACTATATTACCCGATGAATGCTAAACGTAAAAAATTTTGTGTTCCTAAATTATTTTGATTCAATTTATTGATTTATATAATAAAAAATGTGTAATAATTGATAAAGGTTTTTGAAGATTAAATAGAAAGCATAAATGTATCATCACATCATTCTATTGAAACGATCAAAAATACATTCCAATAAAATGAAATATGCATTTACAATTACTTTATTTGTTGTATAAGTCTCTCATACTATGTATTCTATAAAAAATTACCGACGTATTTAAAACGGTGTAAATAATTAAAATTTTAACTATAAAAATATATTTCCCTCGTGCATCCTGTTCATAGACTAAATGTTTTAGACATTACGTAATAATTACCACATAATCGTTAAGTGCCTGCTTGTAAGTGTCTTCTTCCATATCTTTCTCTCGAACAAGTCATCTCATTCTTTTATTAGTCTAAAAAAATAGATTATTATCCTAATCTCAAATGAATTTATCACGTGATAACCTTTGCATATGTTGAGTCTGTGTAAATTACCCAAGAATATATTTGTCCTAAAAATTTATACCAATATGGGAAGATTGCTAGATTTTGTGAATTTTTTAACAAAATTAAGATTTTTATTGCATTTGAGTTTTGATAAAAAATTTCTCAAAACCTGATTTTCCTAGTAATCTTCCCCATATCATTATTTTATTTTATTAGATGAACAATTCGATTTTCATAATGTCATTTGGAATTAATGTATGTTTTGCTACGTAGTATTTTGTGGCTATCCCAAAGAGATTTTACAACGAAATAGGTTTATCTCTGAACACAAAAAGAGGGGAAGTTGTACATACATACAGTACATCTGATCGTATGATGCTCATATGCTTTAAATTCACATGCAACATTTAAAAAAAAAATTACCATATGAAATGTGCTTCTTTTTTGGAAAGAATTTCAAAGGTTATCACGAAATAATTGATTCTTCTTTCTCTATTATTTCAAAACTTGATTTATTATTTTTTTCAATGTAACAATTATTGAAGTACATATTAATCATTAACATATACGGAAATATCTGGTCTGATGGGGGGACATCGCATTAGTATTGTTGTAAAAGAGTATATTACAAACTGAATGAACTCCAATTAATAAATCAAATTAATCCATATTAAAATTTTTTTTTTTTTGCCGAATCTAATCTCAGTTTCTTGTGCCTAACCTTTTTTTTTGTATATATTTAATATACATATACTGAAAACTGAATAACATAATTAAGGAGAATTCGTCTCTCATAACCGATAACTGTTGAAATAAATCAGTCGTCTTGTGCTCATCTTTAAAAACATCTCCGACTTTCTCCTTCGAATACTTTTTTTTTTTTTTTTTTTTTTTAAAAAAAAAAATTAAACTTCGTCAGGATCATAACATGGATCGGATAACAATAATAAACGGGTATCAAAAAAAAATACAGAGATAATCGAAATCTTTTGGCGTAAAACCTGCAAATCTCAAAATTTTGTTGGCGCCATTACATCATGAAGTCCTTTTACTACTTGATCCACAATCTTTTAATCAATCATTCACCTTTTACACATGAATTTTGTAAATCATAAGGCCCTACACACAACGGATTTTTTTTTCATATAAATATTTGCTATTAAAAAAAAGTTACAAAGCATAGTAATCCAAACATGATTTTGCAAACCTCCCATTTATTATCTCTCGAATCAAACACTTTCATAACTTCATGAAAACAATAGACGTAAATACTAGTTGCGTTCTATACGTCATGATTACTAGAGAAGAGCGCACGATCCCAAACGTCAAGAGAGGAAGGCCCAGAGAGGAGGAATCGAACAAGTTATTATTTAAAAAATTGTTTTTCGTCTTTTAATGTTCGTGAAAGGAATAATCTTTATTCATGAATAGAAATGGGTCGTTCTTATTCGTAGGATTTAAAATAATTTTTTTTTAACAGTAATTATGTCCATATTTATATGGATCTGCCAGTCGGTCACGGTCGGTTATGATCCAGTCAACGTTGGGACCAGTTAGTTAACCCGTTGACTGGAGAATAACCGATCGGTGACTGGATAGTAACCGACCGTGACCGACCGGAACAAAAGAATTTTGATTTTTTTTGTGATAATACTTTTTTTATCAGTTGAAATTTAACAATAAATTTTTTTTTAAATTCAAAATCTCTGTTTGATGAAAACTTTATTTAGTATAAATTTAAAATTAATCCATATATATGATCAGTCATGGCTGTGAATGCCAAAGATTGAAAAAATGTAAATGTAAATATTAATATAAATGAACAAAATGAACGAATAAACATGTGAATGCTGCGAATATATCAACTCTACGCTTAAAAACAATTTTTTTTTTTTTTGAGATCAAATAAAAAAGTTAGTTTTTAATAAATCTATAAAACATGGAACAATTCTTTTTCGGGTTTCCGGATTCGTACGTCTTCTGGACGTTCTTTTTCTAGGCTTTATGAATGATATTATCACCTACAGTTGTTATGTATTCAGTATTTTTTTATTAAAAATCATAGTAAATTATGTATGATAACCAGTCGATTACATGTTGGAAATCGCTTACCAAGATATAATATTCAATTAGTTTATAACAGCCGCATCATTTATATCTTTAATAAAAACTCATTCCGATAAATTATTATTTTATTTTATGAAGGATTGTAAGACGTGACTTGTTATGAATAATGACTTTGGCATTATTCAACCTCACTTTTACCTGATTACAAATTTAGTTAATCGATTTACAATCTCAAATGTTTTAAAAAAAAAATTAGTATGCTTGCATTGCACAAACCAAAAAAAAAAAATGGGGAAGTTTATTTATTCTGATACAGAATTAGTGTATAATTGCGTTTCTGACGCATCAAGAGCTAAATATAACAAGATTAGTTCTATAAAATCGTTGTAACTTTGCATTTTGAAAAAGGGGAGTCTGTGAATATTGTAAATAACTAATGTAAATCTTTTTATACTTATTCATAAGAAGAATTAAAAGTTCCGGCTTCTTTAAGACACTTTAATAAAATGTATTCGAAATTCCTATTTATTAAAATTTAAACTGAATTGCGAAGAATCTCTCACGGAGGAATAATGAAAGTATTATACGAGTATATAGAAGAAATTGGAAATTGTGTGATCAATTCTTATTTAAAAGGACGCCTTAACGTTACATTTGGCAAGTGCCATTGCATTTATACATGAATGTGGTAAATTATTTTAAAAACTTAATTTTTTTTATTACAATGTTTTTTTATCTCTAATTACCATTCCTTTAACAACTACTTGTACATTAGATAGTCCGATTTGGTTTGTATAAAATAATTAGTAACTTCACGGGTAATCTTCACGGGTAATCCTCGATAATTCCAAAGTTACTATATCAATGCATTGATTGGTGGATAGTGGCAAAATATCCTATTGATTATTATAAAATATTTTATTTTCTTCATTTTATATTTCATTTTTTTTTCTTTCTCGTTTTATATCATTTTAATCTCTATACAACTTTTTCTATTACAAAATTGTCATTAATATAAACTTTAAAACATTTAATTATAATAAAACTAGACATGCGAATCGCATAATAAGAATCATCAGAAAACTTGCATATGATGCAATAAATTTCATCAAAATCATTATAAATACTGCGTTATTTGAAGGTTCATTCGTTTTTTGATAATTAAATCTTTTTTTTTTATTTTTAAAAAATGGGACAGAATGAATTATAATCAAGTAAATATAGTCAAACTTTTACGAAACTATTGAAGTATACTGTTATAAAACAATTGTCGTAAATCAATGATCGACCACCATCCTGCCATTAGAATAATATTAACGGAAAATAATTAGATGTGAAACGATTGAACAAGAGTAAAAAAAAAAAAAATAAAAATAAAAAAAAATTAAACACAAAGCAAAATTATAATAATAAATTAAGGAGGCTTGAGGCATATCCATCTCTACTGCTACCACGTCCGCTGTCTAAACTAAATATTCGTAATTTGAAAAAAAAAAAAAAAGAAATCATCAGTCACCGTGTCCCAATGATAATAATAATAATTTACAGTAATAAAAAATTTTGCCTTGCGACCCAACCCGAAAGAAATTACCAAAAAAAAAAAAAAAATTATTGATAAGACAAAAATTTAAAAATAAAACTTAACATTTTTTTTTGCTCGACATTTTGAATAGTATCATAACAATCGGAACCATTATTGTCCGAGGATATTCATTATTATTGGTTTGTATAGAAAAAAAAATTGTTTTTTTAATGTAATTTTTAATTCGATCATTTACATGCTAAAATCTTTGATTGTCGATAAGGCAATTTATTAAATTTGATCTCGCATAATTAAATTTCCGACAAATTTGGGTGCACGCCTTTCTCCTAAATTTATTTTATTTGAAGAACAAAAAAACTTTACAAATTTCATAAGTTTCTCATATCTACGTATATTACAACATAAAAAGTCCTGCCGATGCAAATCGTGGTGGTAGTCCCAAAAACAATAACAAACAAACATATGTGGCAAACTCAACTATCGAAATAAAAAAAAAAAATAATAAAAATAAGGAAAATTTTTTCTATAACTCCCCGTTATATAAGTTTATATAGCGTATCAGCAGCATAACTTAAAATCAAAAACTTGCATGTCGTTTTATTAAACAAATTCCGTTATTTTAGTCAGTTAAACTTGGTGTGTGTGAATATGAAATGTAGAAATCTCTGTGCAGCGTAAGATTAGGATTTACCTTACAGCAAATTTCATAAGTTACGGGACACCTGGTAAAATTTTTGCCGAGAGTTGCCGGGTTCTCGGGTTCGCGGGTTGTCGGCAAATTGAAAAAAATAATAACCACGTGATTTGTATGCCAAATAACGCGTCATCTACTCAAAATATATATCAGTATTTTTGTGCAACAAGAAATAAAATACAATTATTTAGAACGATGACTTTTTATTTAGAGTTTCGTCTCAACGCTTGTCCAATTTGTCTTATTTGCTTAGATTGTAAAAATGAATATGGTCAAAAAATTACTTGCCAAGCAAGAGAATTGGAGTGGAAAAGAAAGAAAATTGAACGAGATTATATTTTAGATTTTTGCCATAAACCTTTCACACAAAAAGGTGCTACAAACCAAAAGATCACGTTAGATAAAGAATTTGTTGAATGGGTTCTTACTAGTATTTCTCCGCTTATCATACTTTTATCGCATCCAAATAATATAAATATTTGTATAGATTGTATGAATAAATATCATAAAGGTATTATTTTATATAAATTTTTTTTAATAAAGTATTTTTATATATTATAATGTAATTACTCAAATTATTAAGGTGAAAGAATCACAAATCAGCAAAAATCACAAATTCTTTTTCTAAAATGAAGAATGTATCGATATAACTGGCCCTATTTTATCAAAACCAAGTTCATCATTAACATCAACTTCTAAAATATTTCTATATCACGTAAATATAATCTTTTTTATTATATAATCTATATTATTAATTATTTTTATAAACTTACAAATTAAATTTTAATTTAGAATAAATTACATTAGTTTGCATTGATAAATATAAAAAACCACGTAAAAACTTGATGAAGCAATTGATATTCTTATTACTTAAATGATCTAAGTACATTTGGTCAAATAGAAGAAGAAATATTGTCTCATAAAATGCCAGCCGAATGGGGAGAAATAGAACTTGATCTCATATGTTATCAGAAATCTTCTAGTATTAAGGCGGATCACTTTGATTTAAAATCCAATGGCGCTATTGCAGCATTTATTGCAAAATGCAAAAAAAGAAAGAATGTTCAATTATATGTATATTCTGCAAAAAGAACTAAAAGAAAGCAAATAGTTTGTGGAAGTTCTGTGATAGAGGATGATATTGAAGAATCTTTACCAAAAAAAAAATCATATATGATATATATTTTATTATTCTTGTATTTTATTTATTATAATATATATTTTTATTTAATAAAAAGATTTAATTTGAAGATATCAGATGCTTCTTCATTATTGGAAAATATAAAACTAGAAATATATCAAAATTTTCCTAAATGTGAATATCATATTCAAGGTTGTTTGATTGCTGATGATGAACATCACCTTAAATTAAATAATGAAATGATTACAATTTAGAGCAAGAGCAATGATAAAAAGCATTTTTAATTATAAATATTATAATTAAATATTGAAATTTTTTATTATTAGATTGCTAAAATTAAAGGAGTAGATGCAACTCATCCACCTTTAATTAAGATTTTTGATAAAATTAATTATTGTTATTTAAATTCTAAAAAGCCTTTAAAAAATTATAATAATATATATACTAATGGTAATAGTTTTATATGATATTTTTAATTTATTTATCATTATTATATAAAAAAAGAAAAAAAATAAACTAAAAAAAAAATTTAAATAATCTTTTATAAAATAAAGATTTGGTTTTATTTACTTCTATTACTCTAATTATAATTCAATTATATTAATTACATTATCAAAAAAACAAAGCCTAATTTAATTACTATTCATCTTAAAAAAAAAATCACCATACAAATCTAATATTCAGGTAATAGACATGAAATTTTTTGATCTTATTAATTTTGTATTTCTAATGGGTCTCTCATAAGATAAAAGATTTATTGTAAAATCTTCAATTAATGAAAATGGAAAAGATTTTTTATCTGATCAAATGATTGAAGAAGTTTTTTTTGAATAACATATTAATTTGTGAATTGATATAAAAAAATTACAATTGATTTTAATGAACTTTTTGATAAATAATTTTATTATTATTATTATTATTATTATTATTATTTTATATAAATCTATAATTTTATAAATTTTATTCATTTAAATATATCCACTATGATAAAAACATACTTTTGATAAATATTTATTAATGGTTATACATGCTAAATCTAAATTTTATATAGAATCTTATATAGATTTGATCTAATTTTGATTTTAACATTATTACAATAGTTTCGTAACTTCAAATAAATCTCAAAAGGATAAATAAAACTAAGACAATTATTCAAAGAATCATAGGTAAGGATTCACAATAACATCAAAGAATTATTCTTAATATAAAACACGTGAGATAAATACAAAATAAACACAAGATAACTTAAAGATATTTCAGAGATTATGCTTCAAAGACTCCAAGTCAATATAGCAAATTAATATAATATCATATAATAAGTTTACTAATAATAATTAAAGGGATTGCATAAATGCAAAAAGATACAAATTATTTATAACAATTTCAAAGGGTTTGCGAAGGATAAGTTTTATACTTGATTAATTATACTTCTTTATTAATATAATATATATAAGTTTAGTACTTAAAAGATTAATATTTCATTAGTGCTGAGACTTAAAGAAAATACAGAGATATTTATACATGTTGAATAAATAATAAAATAAACTAAACTAAATATATTAAAGGAAATAAAGTTGCTATTTGCTAGGTAATATAGTTGCTATGTCAATAAAATTGCCAGATCTGTAAATAACTAAATGGATATCTATGATCTATGTGATTATCAAAAGCAATAAAATTGACATCTAAGAATTTGCATAATTGATCGATGACAATAAAATGAATAAAATAATCTTCATAAAAGATCTATATAGCAATAAATTCTACTAATTAAATCTATTTAAATTTTTATCTGTTACAATATAAATAACTTTTAATGTAAAAAAATGCTTGTTCATTCTATAATTAATTGTAAATAAATAAGTTAAAAAAAATAAATAAAAATAAAAAAAAATGACAAAAGCTACAATAATTAATATATTAAAGTTCTTTTTATTATAAATTTTCTTACATATCAGATTTAAATCTGATGAATATAATAGCAAAAATTTAATCTAAACTTCTTTTGCATTATAAATATTAAGTAAATACTGTCCTTTATATATAGAAATATTATCTAATATTAAAATACTATAGGAATCTGAATATATATTCATCTTAGAAAGCTTTGATAAAAAAAATTAATTTATCATAATATATATTAAAAATATTTATGAAAATAATAATACATACTAAAATAAGTTCAATAAAATAAGTATAATCATTACTATTCATAGAACCTTCTTGAATAGCATATGCTAGAAGACTATTAAGATATAATGCTTTTTCTATAGTATATCATTTCTCATAAACAAAAAATATGTATTTACATGCATGTTTTCCTTTAAATTTTCATTTATAACATCAAAAAAGTATTCTTCTATTATATGTAAACTCATCAGAAAATACAAGTTATATTAAAGAAGATTGTGATATATGAACTATAAAATTTAATCTATCATTTTCATTATATTTGATTGCTGATTTAGATAATTAAATATAATAAATAAATTCAATAAATAAAATTGTTTATAACTATAAAAATATTTAGAAAAATTCTTTATCAGTTTATGGGTATAACCAAGGTGATATATTATTTTATAAATAATACAATAGCTAATATGACGTCTTAATTATAACTCTATTTTAAATTGTAGTTCTCACAAATACCAATCCACTCTCTCTTTTAAAAGATTTTTTAAATATTTTATATTATTAACTTTAAGTATTCTTATCCATCTTAATGCTAATGATAAATTCTCTATATATCCATATTTTTAAAATTTCAGAAAAACTCTAGAAACTAAAGATTTACTAATGTTAAATTGCCTTGCAATTACTTAATTTGAAAGCCTTTTTAGAGTCCTTTCAATTATTAACAACAAATATATTTATTTAATTTTGTTTTAGGCATTATAGTATTATACAAAAAATATACTAATGTTATTGTCTGTAGTGATATAATAAAAAAAAATACAATAAAATTGATTGGCTAATATTACGTATTATTATTTTTTCAATTTGTTGATAATCTGACAACCTGGCAACTTCTCAGCAAAAATTTTATCAGATGTTTTGTAACTTATAAAATTTGCTATAATAATCTGTAAATGAATTAATTTTAGTAACAGAAGGTTGTTGAGCTAGAATTACTACTTTAATTTAAGCTATTGACTTGATTTATAATAATAATTCAAGTTATTAAACTAATTAAATTAATTAACTCTAAATGTAAAATTGAATAATAGAACTTAATTATGTTGCAAGAACAAAGTGATAATAATTAACTAATTCCTGCATATTCTTGTATTATGTTTCACTTCCTTTGCATTTATCATATATATATTCTTTTCTATTTACTATATCACTTAATATAATATCTTTTCAGAAAATTCACAGTCTATACATCTTGATTTAATAGAGTTATCATTATTCTTTACTATTCTTTTTTTCCTAATTGAAAATCTACCAAATTTCAAGCAATAGTGATAAGCTATATTAAAGTTTGGAAATAACAGTTCTTCATAAAGATTAGGATAAATATTTAATTTAAGCAAGTTGAAACTAAATTGAACTAACTCATTCCTTTTACTTAAATAAAGAAATGTGAGCAAATGATAATAAAAAGAAAAAAATAAAAACAGATATCTGTATCATTTTGTATGATAAATTCAGATGTTTCATTTGTATTGAAGTTATTAGTTTAAGTTGTAAATAAATGAGAGGGAGTATGTAGATTGCTAATATCGAAAGTTTCATATTTCAATAACTCAAAAATCTCATAATTACCAATACTTTTACTAAAAGAATTTGCTAATAAAAATAAAAGAAATACTCAATCTGAGCGGTAATTTCCCTTAAAGTCTCTAATAAAAGAATATTTAACACATTTATAAATCTTTGACATAGACAGTTAGAAATATGTTACTTTTAATAAAGGTAGTTAATACATTTTCATCATTAGATGATGATGATAACTTCTAAATTTATTTAACATCTAGAATAGGAATAGAAGATTTTAGGAATATCTATTAGCAAATCATGATTTAGTATTACTACTAAAAAAATCATAGTCAGATTTTATTTGCTGGGTATTTATTATTAGAGTTAGTATTAGGGTTAAGTTTATATTAGGATTAAGATTAGAGTAGAATTAGAATTAATTAATTAGTAAGGAAATTTATCATATTACATCACATCTTCAATTTACTTAAATAAATATATTTAACTATTTTTTTAGTAAAGTAGTATACTGAATTTTTGCATGATTGGCCATTATATAGAATTATGTAACTTGACTTTTTATATTATTTAAAGTAAGGTAAATATTTCATTATCTTGCTTTTTTTTTATATAACACTAAAAAAAATTTCATTTACATTTCTAAAAGTCTATTATAATATTTTTTTAAAACTAATCTTATTAATTACATAGTTTTCAACAGGTTATTTAGTAATTCTAAAGGTTATAATAGAAAATCTAAACTGAAAGAAACTATCTAGACTATGTATTATTTGTGAGGTAGAAGGAAATGAAACTAAGTTTTGGAAATTTACAGAGAAAGCTAAATGAAAAGTCTTATAACATAAAATTTTAAATTCTATTTGACATTTAGGCAGTACTCAATTTTGTCATAATTACTATATAAACTGTATTGAAAATGAAATATATTTTAAGAATTTTAAGGATACTGTTACCTTAAAATGATGTCAAGAATCCAATCAGATACAAAATAAACTAATGATGATTCTGATGATAACAAACTCAGGTTAACAATGAAAGAAATTAAACCTAATAATTCAAAGATGGATCTTGATGGATTTGGAGATAAATTAACATTAGAGGTAAATGGAATTTGTGAGATTAATTTTATTGAAAGTGTTAGATCAATAGTGCAAATTATATATACAAGAGAAAAAAAAAAACATATTACTAATTTATGATTGAAAATTATTCAGAAAGGATATAAAATCAAAAGATACTAACCTTATATCATTTTTTAACATGCTTGAAAAATTAATTAATCTAAGTGGTAGGAATCTTTTGGATCATACTATCTTACAAAGGCAGAAAGTGCTCTCTTTTTTATGTTATTTCCTTACTAGAATTGAGAATAAGCATATTAGTGCACTAAAAAAAGATATCATAATATTTTTAGATTATTTAGGTATATCTGATCGAGCTATTAATACTTTATCTAATATGTAATTAAGTTTTACATCAAGAAAAAATCAGCATAAGAAGAATGTTATATTCTCAATTCATAGAAATAATATTACAAAAAACTCTTAAAATATCAGACAAATACAATAGTTGTAAACATTGATGATTATCATAATATTCATGAATTAAAAATGCTAATAATAACAACTACCAATACTATTGCATATATGACTATTCTTGCTATTTCTATACTCACAGTAAGTGTAATTCCAAAGAATATTAGAATATTACATACAATGTAAATGCAAATTAAAACTATATATATAATCTATTATTTATTGATGTTAATTCTTGAATTTCTTGGATAAAGAAACATTATATGACTTTTCTCTCTCAATTTTTTAATGATCAGTTTGCTAAATAATTTACTCTTTCTGAAGAGGATTTACTTAACAATCTAACAGTTCATTATTATAATGCAGATATTTATGAAAAATGAAAAGATCGATAACTTAGTGATACTATATTTATTAATTTTATTAAGATTGATTTGCATTCAATAGAAGCATATATTAATGCTATAAAAATATTTGCATCCTTTACTAAATTTCATGATTATTTTAAGCATAATATTATTCTATTAATTGTTGATTAACTAAGTTAAATATATTCCCAGAAAGCATTACTATACAATAAAGATAACAATAATAAAAAAAGAATAATCAGATAGAAATTCCAGAATGTATTGGTTTTTTTATTTAAATCATATAACCTTTGCATATATCTTTAAAAAGTCATGAAACTGTTATTTTATTATTTTTTGATTTTTTAATTCTGCATACAAATATATTTTTTGGAACAAAAAAAAAGCTTAATAATAAATCTTATCTTTAAAGAATTAATATTTTATTATAATTAATTTCAGATGCTTGGAAAAAATATTGCTTCATATATTAAAGAAAAAATTGAACTAATTTGTTTTAAAAATGTAGAATATCTTATATTAAAAATCCTTTTAGATAATACTATTTCTTTAGTTTTAAATATTTATGCAACAATTTTTAGATCTGATAATTAGAAATATATATTAAAGCTTATATAAGAATATAGTATTTATTTGTTCAATTTAAATAAAAAAATTATAATAAAATACCATTATTCTTCTTTCAGATGTTTAATATTGGAAAAGTATTAATCATCTTATTCTTAATATTTTAAAAAAATATCTTGTAGCATTTAATGATTATTCTATAAAAAATTATCATTCATTAATTCAAAGACAAACAAGAGAAACAGATACACATAAACAATTATCAAAACAGCTCATGTTATCAATTATCTTTATTGTAATAATGTATTTCAAATTGCATTTATTGCAATAAAAAAATATTCTTATTATAAAAAAGATTTAATAAGTTTAACTAATAAAGCATCTATTTTTCTTTTAAAATTATTTATAAAGGTTAATAATAATATTAGAAAAAGCAAATGGATAAAAATTAATTAACATGAAAAAAATAAGTTTTCATGTCATCTTGCAACTCTTAATATAAATATAGATGAATAACATTTACTTATGACTTTTAGTTCAAAATATCTACTAAATTTATTAAAAAAGTGTCATCTTCAAGATTCTTATAAAATATTATAATGATTTTATTTCTTACATCTTAATAAAGTTTATTTCTCTTCTATGTGATCATATTTATCATCAATATTGTTTATAATATCTTGAATATAAATGTTTATATTATTTAAAATATATTAAAAATGAAATTAATAATAATATAAAATCTATTATTTTTAAAATTATTGAAGAAAATTTTAAAGTTAAACTTGATCAAGAAGATGAAATTCAATTAATAGAAAATGATGAACCTGAAGATTTATCAAAGCAAATATTATTTGATTCTCAAAATACAGAACAATTTAAAATAGCTCTTGAAATATTTATGAAAAATTAATAATTTTTATAAAAAAATACAATATTAATATTATATTATTTTAATAATAAAATTGAACCAATCAAAATCAATTATTTTAATGATAATTAGGAAATGATTAACATAAAAATTGAGGTTAGAAAATCACATGCTGATTATATGATTTTATAGTTAGAGAGATATTTAAGCGAATCATTTTTTAATTTATTTATGCGACATGATATACATAACCATTTTTTAATTGTAATTAAATCACCAGCGCAAGATAAACAAGTTATTTTACATTCCAGAATAAGAAATTTATAAAAAAAAATTCTACTTGAAATAATTAAATATTATATAAAGATACTAATAGCATTACTCGTAAGAAAGGAAGTGGTCAATCTTAAAAAATCATCTTTCAAAGCTTTAAAGATTGTGAAAACTTTTGTATTCATTTGTATTAACTTAATAAAATTCTTTTACTAAGTAGAAAATTGGTGTAGTTGATATATTATTTCATGTTAAGCAGTTCTTAATTATTATATTTGATGTCATCAATTGTTTCATCAATTCACAAAAATTTACTATAATTCTGATAAGAACTTTTTTAATCAAATTGATAAAAATATAATAATTGTACAGTTAACTCTTGTTATAACGAACTCTATATCCTAGACTTCAACTTCGCTATAAGGCTATAGTGAAGATTTTAAGAGATTTGATTGGCCAATTCGCTATAACAAAAGTATTTTTATTATATATGTTCAAAAAATTCGTTATATCAAGAGTTCGCTATATTAAGAGTTGACTATAAATAACTTTAAAATTTAAATGTAATTGCATTTTGAATAGATTTAAGTATAGTCAATCCTCTTTAAATGCATCCCCTTAGGACCATAGTGAAAATTTTAAAAAATATGCATTTAAAGAGGATGTATATTTAGAGAGAAAATTTCTATATGAATTCTATATACTTAGGACTAAATGAGAATATGCATTTAGAAAGAGTTGACTGTATTTTGATTTAACAGTTTTTCTTAAATAGAAAGATTCTATTACATTTCAGTTTTCAGGATAATATAAAATATGACTAATAAAATAATAAATTTCTATATCTTTAAGTAGAATTTAAAATAGATTTTGAATATTATTTGACATTTAATATAAATTAATATGATCAGAATAGTATTTAAATTTAAAGTGTGATAATTCAATCATTTTTGTATGTATAGTAGGTGATGTGTATTATTATTTTGATTTTTTTTTATTTTAGATTCTTGTGGATCCACTTATAAGGTCCCTAATTATAATTTTTTTTAATTTTAAATTATTGTATCTAGAATAATGGTAGCCCATTTATATGAATGGAGCTTTACTGAACTAAAATGCTTTTTTATTATTTTAAAAAAAATATGTATAGTACACTGATTTTCAAGAGAATACATTTGACTATATGAAACTTTTTTGTAAGTATCTTGTAATTTAATAATACATAAAATAATAAAAACTTATGTAATATAAAATATCTGCAAGAAAATATTTAGTGAATTGATTTTTTCTGATAAAGATCCAAGAATTACTAAAATCGCTAAACTATATTTTTTGGATAATTGAATGCTATAGATTTAAACAATTAAAATGCCAGCACATCTTACCATACAAATTCTTTTAACAATTAACATCTGACGATAAAAGGGTCCTCAAGGCATTCTGTAACGCTTTCTAAAAAATAAAAATAAAAATAAAAAAAATTTATGAACAAAGATTCCAATAAACTACCATTTATTATAAATTACCAACCAGCAATCATCTTAGCTGAGACGTGATAAGAAAGCTAGGTAAAATGATATGCAGTTTGACAAGTTGTAGGACGAGCTATACTATTTGAATGATATGATTGATATGTATTAGACTAGCGTTAACGCTTGCTGATTGAAATGCAAGAATAATTTTAGAAGTTATGATAATAAAAATGTAAGATAATTTTGCCATAGATTTAAATTGTAATGATTAATATAATTTGTTAAGGGAATTTTTTTTTGAATTTATTTTTTAAAAAAAAATGCATAAATGCTAGTCCAAGTTCTTAAATATTTAAAAATGATCGTATAATGTTTTTGTTTCCAATAAGAGAATAATGTGTTGACATTATTTTATTTATTATAATGTTTTCAAGAAGAATCTGTATTAAAAAGCACGTAAGTTAATTATTTTTTGTTTGTTTTAACAAAAAAATATACATGACTCATTTAAGCTGAATTAAATAATATGTTCTTATAATAAAAATTGTAAACCAATTTATATAATTTATTTTATCATATGTAATCATTCACGAAAAGAATTAACATATTTTTTTTGTTGTTTTAAAACCTTTTTTTGTATATTTTATGAGTTAAGAAAAACACAATATCAATTAAATTTATCAAAAAATTATTGCTTTATTTAGAAAGTACATCTTGACATGCAAATACCTTTGGCAATCAAATCATACAACCATACATAGTAAAGGTGGATTCTAAAAAATCACAATTTTAATTATTGAGCAAAATTCAATTAAAACATACAAGATTGGTGTAACAGGAAAACTGGAACCATATTGGTTGCAAAACATAAATCATCAAAAGAAATCAAGATAAATGCACAAGAAAATTTTGTCATGATTTTATTTGTAGTTTTAAATTTTTTGTTGAATTGGTTTGTTTTTTTGTTTTTTTCTTATTTTTTTTTTTTTTTGAAAAAGAAAAAAACGTCTTCTTAAATAATCGATTTGATGTCTTGTTTCCTGATAAGGAAATTAAATCACAATTTTCAACATTTTATTTTGATTCAAAATTTGGGATGATTGGTTATTATTTTACAGGGAAATTTATTATATGCTAAAATTCTATAATTATAAATTTTCTTTATATGAGAACTAAATATTAGATGAATCACTACGTCATCTAATGTATCTCGATAGAATCGATAAACAATGATCCCGATGAGTTTCATGCAGTGCAAAAAGCAAAAAATTTTGTGTTACTAAATTATTTTTAATTCAATTATTGATTTATAAAATAAAAAATTTGTAAGAAAGTATAAGTGTATCATCACATCATTCTATTGAAACGATCAAAAATACATTCCAATAAAATGAAATATGCATTTACAATTACTTATTTGTTGTATAAGTCTCATACTATGTATTCTATAAAAAATTACCGACGTATTTAAAACGATGTAAATAATTAAAATTTTAACTATAAAAATATATTTCCCTCGTGCATCCTGTTTATAGACTAAATGTTTTAGATATTACGTAATAATTACCATATAATCGTTAATTGCCTGTTTGTGACTTCTAATATCTTTCTCGAACAAGTCATCTCATTCTTTTATTAGTCTCTAATCCCTTATGTATTTATCACGTGATAACTTTGCATATGTTGAGTCTAGGTAAATTACCCAACAATATATTTGTCCTAAAAATTTATACCAATATGGGAAAGATTGTGAATTTTTTAACATAATTAAGATTTTTATTGCATTGAGTTTTGATCTTATTTAGTCAAAAAATTTCTCAAAACCTGTTTTCTTAGTAATCTTCCCCATAATATTATCGCATCTTTTATAAACTTGGATTTTTTCGATTTTCATAATGTCATTGGAATTAATGTGTTTTTCTTACGTAGTATTTTGTTGAAAAGTGATTTTATATTTACTACTTACACTGTGAAAATAAGTTTAGCTCTGAACAACAAAAAGAGAAAATCATTGTATCACATGCTTTACAACATTAAAATTTCAAACATTTAAAAAAATAAATTACCATATGAAAATGTGATTCCTTTTTGGAAATGAATTTCGAAATAATTGATTGTTCTTTTCTCTATTATTTTCAAAACTTGATTTATTATTTGTTTTCAATGTATTAGTATTGTTGTAAAAGATTGTATTACAAATATTACAAATAAATCAAATTAATCCATATTAAAAAATTTTTTGCTGAATCGAATCTCTTGCGCAAACCTTTTTTTTTTGTATATTTAATATATCCTGAAAACTGAATAAAAATTCAACGTTTTTATTCTCATTGCTTTAAAAACATCTCAAAATCTTTGACTTTCTCCTTGGAGTACCTTTTTTTTTTTTTTTAAAAACATTAAATTTCGTCAAGTAACATGGATCGGATAACAATAATAATCGGGTATATCAAAAAAATTACAGAGATAATCCGAAATCTTTTGGCGTAAAACCTGATAAATGTACAAATTGCAACATTTTTGTTGGCGCCATGACATCTACTCTTCTTTTGAAAATGGAAAGTTGGAAAACGTTATCATCCCGAACTTTACAAAAATTTACAATGAAAGATTGTTGATCCACAATCTTTTAATCAATTTACACATGAATTTGGTAAATCATAAGGCTACACACAACGGATTTTTTTTCATATAAATATTTGGGTCGTTTTGCTATTAAAAAAAAACAAAAAAGTTACAAAACATAATAATCCAAACATGATTTTAATTGCAAACCTCCCATTTTTATCTCTGACCAAATACTTTCATAACTTCATGAAAACAATGAACGTAAATACTAGTTGCGTTCTATACGTCATGATTACTAGAGAAGAGTCACGCACGATCGTCGAGTCCGACGGTCAAAAGAGGAAGGCCTATAGAGGCCGGCCGGCCCAGGTATTATAAATAAAAATTGTTTTTCGTCCTTTTATATTAGTGAAATGAATAATCTATATTCATGACGTTTTTAATTTTTATTTGAATAGAACTGGGTCGTTCTTTTCCGTAGGATTTAAACGATTTTGTTTTTTTTTCAAATCAATCAACAAGGTAAATAATAATATTTTAATAAATTTACATTATCATTATAATTTTTAATTATTTCTAATCTTTTTGAAATATTTTAGTTCATCAAATACTTGTTGTTATTGTAATAGGTTAGGCCATTGGGTTAGTCAATGTCCGATATCCCACAAAGATATCGGGAATTATTAATAACAGTCGGTCACGGTCGGTTATAATTCAGTCAGCGGTGGGATCGGTTTGCCGTTGACTGAATGTAACCGATCGCGAGACTGAATAGTAACCGACCATGACCGACCGTTTAACGAAAAAAAAAAAAAAATAAAAAATTATGATTTTTTTGTGACACTATACTTAAACAGTTGAAATTTTCAAGAAATTTTTTTTAAAAAAAAGTCCAAAATATCTGTTACAATCCTAATGAAAACTTTTAGTATTCATAATTTGATCGGTCGTGCCAAAATTGAAAATGTAAATGTAAATAAAAATTGAAAAATGAAAACGTGAATGCTGCGAATATTACGTTTGAAAAAATTTTGAGATCAACCAAAATAGTAACCAGATTCGTACGCGCCTGTACGTCTTCCTGGACGTTCTTTCTAGAGTTTATGAATGATATATATTCGGTATTTAGAAATCATAGTAATAGTTTCATAACAATCGCAGCATCATTTATAACTTTAATAAAAATTCATTCCTATAAATTATTATAATGACTTTGACAGATTTTTAATATTATACACGTTATTCATCCCCACTTGATTTGTAGTTTTGGCCTGATGCCAAAATTACAAATTTAGTTAATGTTAAAAAAAAAAAATTATTTCGGGCACAAAAAAAAATCGTGGAAGTTCATTTATTCTGGTACAGAATTAGTGTATACTTTCTGCTTCTTGCGTTTCTGATACACAAGAGCTAAAAATAACGTCGGGTTTACAAGGTAAGTTCTATAAAATCGTTGTATCTTTGCATTTTGAGAAAAGGGGAGTCTGTGAATATTGTAAAATAACTAATGTAAATGGGTTGATTACTAGGAAAATCAGGTTCCGGGAATTTTTTAGCAAAATTGAGATTTTTTATTGCATTATAGTTTTTGATGTTATTAGATTAAAATGTATTAAGCTCTCTTAATTTTAGTCAAAAATTTCTCGGAACCTGATTTTCCTAGAAACCCTCCCAAATCTTTTTATACTTATTCATTAAAAGAATTATAATTTCCGGCTTCTTTAAGACACTTTAATAAGGTATTCGAAATCCCTATTATATTAATATATAATCTGGACTTACGGAGAATCTCTCGATTTTCATTTATGGAGTATTAATGAAAATATTATACGTGTATTAGAAAATTAAATTTTTTAATGAATATATGCTGAAATTCATCGCGAGCCTGGTTGGTAATTAGTTAACTATTTTATAAACTTAATATTTTTTATTACTGTATTTTATAACTACATTGGCCGATTTTGGTCTGTCAAAAAAATAAAAAAAATTAAAATTGGTATAAAATAATTGGCGTAATATGTTAAATTATGAGAATTCTGTTATGCATAATATTGGAGATTTGTTATGCCAATTTCAAGTGGCATCGACCATTCTATATAGATGGAAAAAGTAAGAAGTTTCGATTATGCTCCTAAAAGAACAACCTTATAAGGTTTAATTTTATTGATGTATTTCATGTATTAGCCTATTATGGTGAGTGAGAGTTCTACAGAATGGAATAAAAAACATCATTCACTTTATAAGTTTCGTTAAAATTATCTTAACGCTTTTGACGCTTTGATTTATAGAAAATTTTTTATATAAGCAGAAGGTTTGAAATTTTATGTTATTATTTTTTTTTTAATTAAACCGACAATATGCTACTTTAATAATTCTATTATGGCTCCTTTTGCAAATAAATCATTAATTTTCAAGATCTGGAAATACATTGAAATTTTTGAGAGAACAAAGTTTCAGAAGGAACCTATGAGAATTGCAAGATATTTAACGCGTTTTTTGATGTGAAATGGCAGTGGATTTTTATAATGATACATAGGATCATTGCGGGAATTTATAGCATGTAGCATATATTTGCATCCTCATAAATATAATCAAAAAATTGTTCCTGCTATTTCATTACAAGTGTTGCACCGGTAAGATACCACCATTCTTGGTTGTACTTCCGTTATAATTACTTATTTTTTTTTTTTATTATTATATATAAACTTTATATTTTCGAAGCGGGAATCAAAATATATTAATTTTTTCAATATCTCTCACTCGATTCATTATTGCCGTCACTTGATTAGCAATAGTTTTAAAATATATTGATGAATTATGAGTTTGATTAATACAAGCTTTAACGTTATTGAATTACAAAAATAATTTAGTGATTTGAAAAATAAATTTAAGAAATCCTGTAATGTAGATCATTCTTATAATAAAGCCTCATTTTAATCTATTCACTAATTAATGAGAAAATATGGTTGATTTAATGTGTAACTAACCTATGCAATTACTTTCAGTTCTATCATTGACAATAAGGAAATTTTTCAATTAAAAGTTTTGACAAAGATCAATGTGTTTCTATTAACTGCTTGTGCTGGACATTTTCAATTCGGATGAGCGATAATAATTCATATCATAGGATAATTCAATGGAATTTATTTATTAATTTCAAATTAATCAATCAACCTCGTTAAATTTCCTTTGATTTTATGGACGTAGGCAAATCATTCCGACGAGAGTGCGAAAGGAACCTCGCGTTCAATGTTTCTGGAGATGGAAGAGGATCGATCAACCCATCAGGAAAAAAAGAAATAATACTTTATTTATATACAACAGGCTCAAAAATGGTACTGATAACGAAATTTTAATATTTTATGTCAATTTGTTGGTATTCATTCTTTATGAGCTGTAATTAACCCATATCAAATGAATTATTTTCGAGCGTTCAATCCTATCCATATATTTGTAACTATGAATATGGATAGGTTTTGTGAGCGGCGATTACAATCATCCCGAGTGTTTATTTTTTTTTTTTTTTTTTTTGGAAAAAGCGAATGCGTGTGCATTCAAAAAAAAACAAACGAAAGAAATGAGTTCTTGGTGCAAAGTTCATAGAAGAATTTCCTTTACTATATTGAAATTGGAAGCCACACTTGCCCAGTTGGCACCACCATGTTTAATTTTATACCATCATTGGTTAATTATGGATTCTTAATTAATTCATTGCCTTTGTTTTTGTTTTTATTTTAAATTTCCAAACACACTTCTTTTTTATGCATTGCGAGCGGGATCTGTTTCAAAAGATCAAGAATTGAATACTTATGCCAAATGTTACTTTGATTTCATAGGAATCTAATGAAAAAAAAAACAAAGAAATCGATATGTCTCCATGGATCGGTTAAAAGACGAAAGAAAACGAGTAAAACGGATATTTTGATTTTTGACAAAAAATTAAAATCTTAAAATATCAATTTTTTAAAAAGTTCACAGAGCCTGTTTAGGTCATTTACATCTTTTCAAATGACCTTTGTCATTTCAACTAATAAGGGGTGAATTTCTTAGGTTGTCTAGGGCCTTCCGGTTCTATGATTATTTGTCAAATAAACAGGATGATTGTCAAATTGTGATATTCCTAGTATAAAATTCATGGTACTAAACAGGATTCTCATCCTGTTTATTGTATTTTTTAAAATATACTTTATTGTATAATCAGCTTATCACAAATTTTAAATGAATAGAAAAACATAAATAACGATCCAGTAATTTTTCCTCGGACCGGTACTCTTAAACAAAATTCATATATCATAAATCTTAACATATAACATAGATAATTGATCTTTTAAGTTAATATTCATATTAAACAATTGATTTGTTAAAAAAATTGACCATTATAAAATTAAAAAAATTGATCCATGAAAGAACAATTGACGAATTGTCTAGAATATCCGTCTCCACAAATAAGCAAATAAAAGGTGTGCGCTTGTTTGTTCGTCTTTTTTTGAAATTTGAAAAGAGTCGCGAATTTATGAAAAATATAAAGTTGAATTTCTTTTGATTGTAATGGTACATTGCTAATAGCTGCTAATTTTTTTACGTAGAGCTTCGTTGCCTCTTTTTCTAACTTCCTTTTAAGTAAAGCTGTTAAAAGAGGTTGGGAAATCGTATAAATGAAACAATAATTTACACGATAGAGAAAAGTAGTAATAAAACTTGATGTAGTATTCGGATGAGGGATTTTATTGAGATAACATAACTTTTCGTATTCTTTACGAACTTTATCATCCGCATTTTTCCACGCTTCGGCAATTTCTTTGTCGTCTTTTAAATCTCTTTGAATAGATCGTGTTGCTTCTAAATAGTTATCTCTAAAAAGCAGAAAAGGGAAAGGATTTCTCGGTACATCGTAATTTTCTGGAAATTTCCACATCAAGAATTCATAGTTTGGTTTCAAGACTATAATATTTCTCTTTATATCAAGTAAGCTACGGCAACGATAATTTCTTCTTATATCAAGTAAGCTATGGCAACGATATAAACTTTCGTCCAAAGGCATATTGAATGATGGAAACAAGTGTAAAATGCGCACGTTTCCAGGTTTTTTCCTTGCTTAAATAACATTCTTCAATTGATGATCGGCCTAAATTATCGTGCCTATTTCATAATGCATTAAGGCAAATTTCCTTATATAGTAATAATGGGGCGCAAAACAAAAATTGCAATCTCAGCAAATATTGTAAAGGGTCTATTTTCATTTTGCTTGGCATAACTAAATCGGGTACTTTGGTGGAACTAAATATTTATTATAATACAAACAACCATAATCAATCTTTTCTGAATTCGGACTTTTTTTAAATTAAAATGACACAAATGACATATAGTAGAAGCTCCTTAAATTATAATAAAAAATAATAAACAAATTTGCAATCTGCAATCTCAGCAATTATTGTTGAGAGGTTTATTTCATTTTGCTTGGAATAACTAAATCGGGTACTTTGGTGGAACTAAATATTTAATTCAAGGAATTTCAATACAAATACCATTTCGGGTTTTTTTAATTAAATGACACCAATGACACATAGTAGAAATTCCTTAAAATTTAATAAAATAATAAAAATTTCAACAAATTTGCAATCTCAGCAAATATTGTTGAAATGTCTATTTTCATTTGGCTTGGCATAACTAAATTGGGCATTTTGTGGGACAAAAATTAAATTCAAGATTGAAAGTAATATATAAAACAAATACCATCAACTCTCCCGATGTTTGATTTCAATTATAAAAAAAGTTACTTCTTAAAATTAAATTCACCTAATTCGACATTTTGTAAAAATTTTAGTGCGAGATTATTGCATAACCAGAAAAGGTTATAACAGGGTTTGATATAATTGATACCTTACTTGCTTATTATAAAAGTATCATTTTTTTATTTTCCTGCTCATTAAAAAAAAAGATATGACTGGAAAAATAACCTTCACTTTGGACACCGATCCGGTCTCGAAGAGAATGGAGGTCCTCATTTTGGACCATTCGAACAATAAGTTTCTACCTGTGGAGGTTTCAACGGCAACAGAACTGATTGATTGTGATTATAAGGATTTATTAAATCCTTATATGATCTTTTATATCAATGTATGTAGAGCAATCAATACAGCTAAAAAAAAAAAACAGTTTAGACATTTTTCGGATTCATTTAAAGATATACCTCATCTTTGGGAAATTGCCCCTAAAGATGTAAAGGATACTTATGACCGACTTTATATTGGTTATAGGAAACTAAAACCAAAGATTATAAAATTCGTATCTTGTAATCAAAATTTGAATGATATGAATCCCGAAACTCAATCAGGAAAAACTGAAGAAATCGTACAAAATTTGATTACTCAATCTGAAGAAACTTACCAAGAAATTACGCTTGCTCAATCAGGAGAAACCGAAGATTTCCAAGAATTTACGCAAGATTTGATTGCTCAATCAGAAGTTCCCCAAGAAAGTTTCTTTGATTTGATTACCCAATCGGATGATTTAAATACTCAGTCGGGAGGAATTCAATTTCTCTATGCTGAGAATAATTTATTAACCTTTTTAGATAATAATTTAGGTACGTGTTTATTACAAATTTCTATCAAAGTAACCTCATGTATGAAATGTAACGAATTATTACTTTTTTTTTAGAAAATTTTGAATTTTCCTCTTCAAGGCCATTATCCGATCATGAAGAAACATCTTCGCAATATATGGAGGATAATTATATCTTTCGAAACGAATGGGGATAAATTCAACATTATATATATTTTTTTATTTTATTTTTTATTTTACTCAATAATTCTAAATCAATGTAAGTAGTTAAGAACTAAGTAAGCTTTTTTAAGACCAAAAAAATTTTCATCCCACGTGACTTCGAAGCGTTTTATATATACCCGGTTAATTTAGGGGGTTGGACTAATTTAATTAGTTAACATATGGATATGATTCTTATTTTAAATAAAATTATGATTCAAATTTTATGTCATATAATATTTATGTATGTCATACACTAACGAAATACGAACTGTTTACGTAATTCGTTCCAATTATTATAAAATTCTTTTAATTTCTTAAAACTTTCTAATTTCACAATTTTCTCGCGATTAATTATGTCTACAACGAAAAGAATATTTGACAAAAGAGGAGAAATAAATGGTGAATATGTTCCCAACCCAACAACAGGTCAAAGACATTTGAAATTTGGTCCACCAGGAGTTGGTGGTATGTTATCCGTTATTTTCACATTATCTTTGTTCTTTTAAACATTTGGTAACACTTTATTATACATGAAAGCCAATGTTGAAGAGCCAATCGGCGATTATCATCAGGTGCCTGATAAAGATGAAGTGGATATACATGGAGAAGGTATAAGTGTAGAAGCAGAAAATCGTAATCTTGCAGAATTAAAATCCTTGTCTACGGATTATGCTCGTAAAGAAAGTAAAGAGGGAACTGGTCCTCACTTCAAAACTCAGGCTGCGACCGCAGGTATTCTGTTAAACTTTTTTTAAACCACATTGTTACAAATAAAGATCAACTAAAAAATTTAATTTTAGCTTCGGCGCTTGGAAAATATGCTGCGGCTATTGGACAAGAGCGTTTAAAGAATCCTACAGAATTGCTCAGAGACCTTCCTCATATTGAAAATATTGATAAAAAAGCTTTGCTTGACAGATTGAAAAAAGAAGTTAAAGCTAGACAATCTGTTGAAATGAATGAAATGCATAAAGAAGTTCGTGGTGGTGTTGCCGCTCATGTACAGTCTGCTGTTGATAAATTGGATCAATTAATTGAAGAATGAAAAAAAAAAGCGTAAGAAAATATGTGATGTCTTCATGATTAACTTATTTAGTCGATTGTAATATAACATGAAATATTTCAATCTGCGCAACCGATTTGATTTACATCACATAGTTTAGAAATTAAGACGATGTAGGTGTACAAAGTGATTTTTGAAAAAAAAAAAAAAAAAATATGTATATATATGTCTTGAAATTTATTCGAAAAAGCAAAGAAAAAAACTTTTGATAACAATGCTTTATGGTGAATTAGTTGATGAAGCGTAAAATTTGTAATCGATATATGCAAATAATACACTATTTCGATACTTTTATTTGATTTCTTTAATCAATCGCCATTACTACAGTTTTCATCGAGCAGTTTTAGTTACAGGAAATACTTGAATCGGCGAGATGTCGCATTAACTTTGATTATACAATATTACAACGGTTCGTAAGGAAGAAGATTTTGAAGAATTGAAATTACATTTGAAAACGATAATGTTATAAAGGGTTAATACTTTCAATAATGGGCGTACTGTAATTAATAAAGAAAATATCCAAAAATGCTTACGAAACAGTATAAAGATAGAAATAAAAATTCCTTTTATTGCATTAATTGATTGATTTTATTTTCTTGAAAATAGTTTTAATACTAATTATTTTGGTATTAATACAGAGAAGTTTTTACTTTTATATAAGAGAAAGTCGTTAATTTGTTAATTTTAAAAGTACTTAATAAAATATTGTAATCATTAAATCTTAATAAATTTAATAAATTATTAATCATTATAAATAGATTTATAAGTTAATAATTATACCTTTTAACATATTTTATCATTTGGACGCTTTGCAGTAGAAAGGGAGAATTCTACCAAAAAAAATTTTTACTAAATGATTTTTTTAGTAAAATAAGTTCAGATTTAGCATTAATTCAAAAAAAATTTTTTTTGAACTTTTTTGCCCATTTATATTATTTGACAATTATATAATATTTATTTCTTTCTTTTATTATTTTAATTTTATTATTTCTATTAAATTTTTATTTTAATATAATTTATTATTTTTTTTTATATAAGAACTAAGCTATTAAAATCAGATTACAGAATCCTTTCAAGCAAAAATGAATTATAATATAATATTAATAAAGCAAGTAATTAGATCATCAAAATTTTTCTAAAATTAGATTTTAGAAATAATTAACATAAAATTTGAAAATAATCAGACATTATTATTCAAAAAGTTAAAAAATTTTCAGATCTATTTAAAATTCACTTTAATTAAAATATTTAATATAAAATCATTATTAATAAATTTGAATAAATATTTGGATAGTAACTGAAGATATTTATATCTTTAATAAAATTTTTTTTTGAAAAATACTCTATTTATTTTGTTTTATAAAAAAAATAAACATGAAAAAATTAAAATAATTTAAATTTCTTTTTAAAGTTACTATAAAATGAATTTTCATAAATGATAATTTTGTAATAAAAATATATTATTTAAATTTTAAAATTATTTTTCTAATAAAATTAGTGTAATAACATCCTGTAAAGTGATTTTAATAACAAAATCTAAAGTATTATAAAATTAATTTTAAGTATTATAAAAATTAGTATAATAATATCTATAGGATAATAAAATTTTATGTATTTTTTATAATAATATCATCATATTATTAATTAATTTGATTTAATATTTAAATTAAATAATTTATTATTGGTTGAAAATATTTACTAAAATGTAAAATTTTTTTGATCATCATTTACTCAAAATTAATTTCTTATTCTGTAAAGTGATTTTAATACTTAGTTCCCATATATTATTAATATTAAAAATAGAAATTACTATAAATATAAAAAATATTATGTAAGAATTTTTAAATGATAATACATAATAATGATCAACAAATATTATATCAGAAAAATCAGAAAAATATTAAGAATTTACATAATTTATCTGATCAATCAGATATGTTATTTTTCTAATACTGCAAATATTTATTATATTTGTAATAATAGATAACTTTTTATTTTTATATCTTTATTCTTTTTATTATTTTTTCTTATATTTTATATTTATATTTTATTTTATTTTTTTATTATATTATAGCTAAAGTTTATAAATTTAGTTAGTTTATAATAAAGTAAAATAATTAGTTATAGCAAATTAATTTTATATAAATAAATAATATTTTGCTCAAATTATAAATTAGCTCTCTTATAAGTTTTATAACTTTATTATAAGT